GTGGGTGGGATTCAGAACTGGAGGTGCCAGTCTGGTTGAATGGTGGCTGTATCGTGATGATCTAGAAGAACAGGATGTGGGAGTGGTGGGGGTGGGTGGGTACTGGAGTCTGAGATTTCAGAGATGGCGCAATTCTGGGTGGTAACTAAACTCAAGGTGAGCTCATGAGAGATTGCAGTGGCACATGCCTGGAGACTCAAGTCCTCCAGAAGGAAGGGGTGACCCAAGCAGTGTGTTTATGCTGAAGGTGTAGTGAGGTCAGGAGTGAGAATGACAAGGAGGGGCTAAAGGAAATATCTAGTGTTTTGAAAGTGGAAACTGAATTCTGCAACCTTCCTTGCAAAACACACAATTAGAGAGAGAAAATACAGAACAGCTTCTGTCCCAGAGGACTGCAGAACGGTGGTGTCTCAGGGACAGCAGAGCTTCCTTCTATGCAAGGGGAGCAGAGCAGGGAACATTGAATAGGTTGAGAATAATAGAGAAATTTGTTTACCATCACATGGTGAATTCCAATGACAGCAAGATTAAGGAAGGAGAATAGCCGATTTGGGAGCAGGGTATGGAAGGAGATATTCTACATGACGATAGTGTCCAAGGATGACAGAGGGATTGCTGGAGTTCTGATGAAGTTTGGGTTCACACTAGTGCTCAGGCTTGGCCATTACCCCAAATGATGACCTTTGCTTTTCTTTGTCTTTCCATGGGCAAGAGTGAAGACCACTGGACTGCAAGACACTCTAGGACATGTATTTGTTTCCTCCCAAGGGAGTAATTGTCATGTAGTCTAAAAAGGCAACTCTCCTTCTAAAGAGTATTGAATTGAGGGTCAATCTAAAATTTTAATATCAATAATACTTTAAACAATAATCACGTCTTAATTTTTTGCCTTTACCTTACTTTATAGCTGAGGTCAGATACCAATGGACTCCTGTGAAAATGTTTCTTTGAAAAGTTGTTGTCCATTGTGATCTATCTATCTACATGATGGCATTTTTTTTTAAAAAAGGGCAGAAATCTTAACTTACAGTTTTTTTTTCTAAAAAGAAACATATAGTGATTTCAAAATAAGAAAGAAGAATTATGTCAGTTTGAATATAGAACTTACTTACTTGGTCTAAATTGAAAAACCAGCAAAGAACATTCTTTCTTGCTAAAGGATTAGGAAAGACTTAAAATAGTTATCAAAATTGTCAAGTCAGGAACATTTTTGTGCAATGTATAAAAGATTCATTAGCCTACTCACAATGATTTTGACATCGTCTTCTCTTTTTGTCATCAGACCTACTCCTATATTATCAGGTGAAAAGAAGTAAAAAAATTCTTTGGAGAAAAACTCAATTCTCTCACAATAGATAAGAGGTTACTCCCTGGAGAAACAGAGGTGAGAGTTCTAGACCCCAAGGCCACTTCTAGTTTGTTAAATTCTGACCCCTGGGGGTTGGTTTCTGCAAATGCATCTACTTAAATGCACAGGCACACATGTCCAGAAACTTTGGCCTTTAAAAAGAAACTTCATTGAAGTGTCGCAAGAAGATGGAGTCATTTATTCCCAATTTGAAGAGATAAATTGGCATTAAAAGGAGACTAACTGCAAAAGTGAACTCATTAAAAAAAAGGATTTTGTAATTTACTGGCAATTATAATAACCCAGAAAAGAATGCATTCTTTACAAAATCTTAAAAATGTTTCTTGTTAATTTTCTGCACCAAGACAAAAAGTGACTGGCAAATAACAGTACTTCCTTCACTAAAGATCAAATGTATGTGTGCAAATGTACTGATGTATTGTTACATGGCCCATTAACATGAGGGAGAAAGGTGGTGCCCTTGGCTCTGGAGAGACTGTATTGGTAATAGATAGTAAGGCAGAAATCTTCACTTATAGTTTATTTTAACTTGATTTTAGCTAAAAGGCCTCAAAGCAATAACTTATAGTTTATTTTAAAAAGCCAAGTAAGGTAAGAATAGGAATGAAAAAAGATTCAGTATATGGGACTAAGCCTGCAAGGAATTCAGTGTTTTTTCCTCATTTCTAGATGGTAAAACTTTAGGTTTGCAAAAGACTGAGAGTTAAATTGCTGCTAATGCTATGTCCCCAAAATAAAATGGAAAAAAAACCTGATTAGTTAAAATTACTGCAGCTCTTCAACATCAATGCAAAATGTACAAAACGCAGATCATGCGAAAGAGGGCCCTTGCCTGAGAGAATCTTCTAAAACTCCTCCAAGAGTGCTTTTTTCATTATTGCAAATAATAATTGACTGATAGAGCAATCCTGGCTACAGCATAGCATTGTTCCTAAGCAACGGCATTTAATGAAAAAGGTCTCATCTGTGTGACCAGAGTAGGAGGAGGGAGACTTTCTAATCTTAATAGAATTGTGACAAGTAGAAGCCCTTGAGTATTTCTAGTAGGAAATTTTCTGTTTTCGGATTTGACCTCAGGAGTTGAATGGACATGAGGGGTAAGTTAGAGATTCTGTTTTATTTTATTTTTCCAAATAGTTCACAAATTGTTCCGAACATGGTTATTAATAATTTAATAAAGTATCTTTCCTTCACTAATTTGAAATGTCATCTTTATCATGAACTGAATTTCCTTGCATATCTGAGTGCATTTCAGGACACTTTGTGTTTGCCTTTTTTCTGTGTGAATCCCATGGCATTTTTACTTAAAGTGACCTTACATTTTATTTTCATATCTGATAGAGTTAGTCATTTCTTATTTTGTTTTTCAGCTTATTACACATGTATTCTCATGCAAGTGTTTTGAATAGGAAACAACTACTCAAAATAACGATGATGATGATAACAATAACTTGTAAAGTGCCAGTCCATGTTCGTTCTTTTTATAATTTTTTAAAAATATTTATTTATTTATTTATGACAGAGTCTCATTCTGTTGCTCAGGCTAGCATGCTATGGCATTAGCCTAGCTCACAGCAACCTCAAACTCCTGGGTTCAAATGATACTCCTACTTCAGCCTCACAAGTACTGGGACTATAGGTGCCCCCTACAATACCCTGCCTACAATACCCTGCTAATTTTTCCATTTTTAGTAGAGACAATGTCTTGCTCTTGCTCAGGCTGGCCTCCGAACTCCTGAGCTCAAGGGATTCTCCCACCTCAGCCTCCCAGACTGCTAGGATTACAGGCCTGAGCCACCTCGCCTGGCCTCTGTTCTTTAAAATATTATTGATTAATTGAATCTCTGCTGTGTTGTAAACGCTTGTATTATCATTTCCATTAGGGACATCAGAACCTGAGAGAGTGAGGTACTTATTCCTTTATCTCCTCCGTAGTTCTTAGTTTAAATTCCAAGACAAGGGCTTGTCAAATTTCCACATGTCGCAGGTCACTAGACAGGTCCGGTTAGGTCATAGGTCACTATGAACTGGCTCATATTTAGCTATATTCAGTTGAGGCCATGGTGTATGAGAGCAAAGCATAGCTACATACTTACCCCACCATACTTGATATATTTGTTGCATCTCCCGAATTAGGTCCGGTGGACAGTGCGTTCCCTGTTTTCCTTAATGTCTGCTCTTAGAAAAGAACCTCATATCTACTTTGGGGTTCTGAATATGAGCAGCTACACTTCAACATGACTTTGTGGGGGCAGAATCAACTAGTGGGAGACACAGGTGAATGCATATGAAAAAATCAAAGAATTTTGCCATAATCCATGCAACCCCAAAATATTTAAAATGTTCACTAGGTTTGTTAGATAAACTTACCAGCAAGCATTTCCTAGTGGGCTTACCAAAGACCACACTTTCAGGTTTAAGAAGGAATGGGTACGATATCAGGGTAAGTTAATTGATGCATTAGAAGAAGATGAGAAAATATAATGGCATTGCTGGACACTGATGGCATTCACAGCCAGAGGATTAAGTCTTCATAACCACTTTTTTTGTTTGTTTGTTTTTTTTGAGACAGAGCCTCAAGCTATCCCCCTGGGTAGAGTGGCGTGGCTTCACAGCTCACAGCAACCTCCAACTCCTGGGCTCAAGCGAGTCTACTGCCTCAGCCTCCCAAGTAGCTGGGACCACAGGTGCCCACCACAACGCCCGGCTATTTTTTGGTTGCAGCCAT